GTAATTAATCCATGTTGAACCAAAAAAAACCTGGAAATACCTGACAATATGAGTTCTTAAAATAGATTATCCAATACTCACCCAGCATTTCTGGGCAGCGTGACCTGACGTGTCAGGTCGCGGGACCGGGGATGAATTTGACCCTGACTTGCAGCACAAAGGCCTGGGGGAATGGGTCCCAAGCTATGGTTTGCCATTGGTCTTCCATCATTTCTAGAGGAATGAACTATAGATTTCTATGGTTTTTATGGGGATGAGCATCAATGTATAGATCTTAGCCGTTTTGATGTGACAGCTCGTCTACTGTACCTTTTCTGTTGACCCATCATATGAATTGTCGGAACTTCCATATTTACCACGGTCAGTCTCAGTATGTCTCAGTGCTAAATCCAGCAAGCAATTCACAGGTGCTGCGGCCCGAGCAGACGTTGGAGGAAATCGGTTTGTATGATGGCAGTGTTGTCACGGCCATCAGACAGCCCGAGTGGAACCGCCATGTTTGGAGAACTGGTCACCTGGGACTGTTGGGGATCGGTTTCAATTAGTTTCCAGTTGGGCAATATCGATGGGATGGGTAGAAACATCTTGAAGCCATCAACCATTCATCATCTCTTTAAAATTGATCTTGCAGTGATAAACAGTTGCAGGGAAGCCGGAATTGTTACTCTTGAAGCGGCATGTTTGAAGTGGAACACAGATGATGCACTTGATTTTGGGCTCTCCATTTGTGTTTTTTTTTTGGTGTGTGTGTACATGGATCTATGTGGTTTCTCTTAGACGTCCATGTTTGAGTGTGTACTCTACGAACTCATTTTTTTGGTTGTTTTTTCTCATCATATTTGAGCTTGTCTGAAAATATGGTACGCATGAATCCAATGATTAATCATCATTCTCCCTATAAACATTGGCCAAAACTTGCTATTGGGGTATCCCCCATTTCAGTCACATCCATTTCTTTTGACATTGCAGTCAACAGGCTCTTCGTTGCTGCGGCCTTTGAAGATGGCACTGCAGCTGTTTGGAGCGCTTGTCTCAGGGGCATGCCTTAGCAACATGTCGATGGGAATATGGGGGAATAATCCCACTATCCAAGCAGAAGTGAAACTTGGGCTGAGCAAATCCTTGACAAAGCTTTGCGAATGCATTTGGAAGATGTATTTGGATATGAAAAAAGGATTAGAAAAGGATAAAAGAGGTGATAAACCCAATGGTGAGCCCAACTCTCACAAGGTTTATAACTTCCTGAGATGGTCAACTGAGGCAAACTGTACTCTTGGTATCACATGATCAGTGCCCAAAAAGGCATCATGTTTCAATCACCTGAAAACTCAGGTGTGGAATCCGGCAAGCTGGAGAGGCGCGCGGCAACGCGCCGGGCAGGGCGCAGAGATTTCCTGATATGGAGGTTTCCTGAAATGGTGGATGCATTTATAGATGGATTTTCCATTATAATAAATTATAAACCAACCAGCTATTGGGGATTCCCCATTTATGGAAATCCCCATATTTTATTGTATGATTAAAGTCATGCTTCCAGACTTGGCCAGGAGCTTTGAGTGTAGATATGGCTCAGTGAAATCGGTGACATTGGCGCAGCCCGGGCCCTTGGATATTTTTTTTTCCAACCTGGTTCTGAGTGGGTGTTTTTTTCCCCTCTGGGGGATTTCCAAAAGAAGGAAACATCTATAGGAAAACAGCTCCGGAGTCGAAACTGCATCATTCCCCAAGGGCAGGTGGCTTCATATAGAGCACACTGGAAACTATGGCACTGATTTAGGCCTGGACTAATACTGGTTCTGGGCATGGTGGTTCCTGGCTCAGAATCCGGCATTGCTTTTTTGCACAAGTGTCCCACATCGGACAGCTGCTTTGTCACAGTTTTCACCAATCACCAAAAGGGTTATCGGATCCGAGGATGGCACAGTACAGCTGTGGAACGTTGTCACTGGAAAGTTCATGAGGCGCAGCTGACATTTTGCACCTTGAAAACATGGTGAAAACATGGTGACCTTGAAAAGTTTCCCCTTTTTGCTTCATGTTCCACAAGATTTGCATGGTTCTTGGTGAATTTTGGTATCTGGCGAGGCAGTTCAGTGGCCACATGGGGGCCATTTTCTCCGTGGAGCCGCTGGCATGTTGACTCCCAAAACAGTGACCTCTGGAAGGTACCTATGAGATCTATGTAAATCCAGCATTTACATTCATAAATTTATATACTATAAATATCTGTATATAAATGATTTGTAATATTTTGTCGTAATCGAAGGAAGTTTAGAAGTCAAACTTCCGGCAACATGGACAGATGAAAAGCAGAGACGGGAAGAGTCAGAGAGAAGAGAAGAGTAGAAGAGAGAAGATCAGAGAAGAGAAAGAGTCAGAAGAAAGAAGATCCAGGTGCGCGAAAAGGTAGGAACGTCGCGCAACACTGTGTTTTTCCAATGATTTGTGGTTCCGGAGGGTCGAAAAGTAGGCTCGCTAAAGCGGCGGGTGCGGAGCCATC